TTTCGGGGAAAAGCAAACGCAATTGGGAAAAAATAGGACCAACAAACAATCGCAAAAGCAATGCCAATTGGACAACATAAAAAAAAAAACTGCCGCTAAAGCAATAATTTTTTGATAAAAAGCAATACAAATTTGATAAAAAATCAGCTGCAAAAAGCAATAAAAATGAGATGAAAGAAAAAAACAGTCGCAAAAGCAATACAAATAAAAGAAATAACCAGCTGCAAAGGCAACAAAAAAACATATGAGAAAAAAAGCAAAAATAGGGGAATAAAAAGCAGTCGCAACAACAAATTGGAAGTAGCAGCACAAAGCAAACCAGAAAGTAAGAAGAAAGAAAGACAACAGAAAAGCAGAAAAAAATACCGGTGCAAAAAGCAATCCACAAATGGTATGTATGTACAAGCACGTGTGTGTGTGTGTGCACGATCCACATAAGGGTATGTGTTCGTGTGTGCTCCCGATTATGCGAATGTGTCTGTGTGTGCGTGTGTTTTTGGACATCATCTGCCCGCCCAGGGTGTATTAGTATGGGGTGAACTGCTTCCCAAACCTTTGCGTGGTCTTCGATCTTAATAAATACGTATTTACCGCAAGATGTCTACGAAAGTGAAATTGATATAAGAACTGCGAATATTGTTGAAAAAATAAAAATTTAATAGACATTTTGCTCATATTAATTTTGAGGGAATTCAGTGCTGAAAGCGAGCACGAGACGCATCACCTTATAATTATTGCACTTTGTACCCGGCTGCGGTCATGTGTGTGTGTGTGTGTGTGTGTGTGAAGAGGCTGCTGTTGGCGTTGCTGACTGGCCGCCTAGAGGCGTGGCCCCGGCGCGTCCGATTGTGGGTCTAGTTTTGGCTCGCATATCTTTTTTTTTTGCACTTTTCTTTTGAGTTGGCTATTCGTCCGCGTCCATTGCGATGAAGCCGATCACAAAAGCGTCATTCGTGGTCTGAAGAGGAAGACCAAGCAAGAGAGTGATAGGCGCTGAAAAAGAAGTGGGAGAGGGAGAGGGGTGGTGCGAGAGGGAGACGGAGAAGCAGCAACAAAAACTTATTCAGCTTGGGCACAAATTTAACCCTAGAGTGGAACAATTGGTCCGATTTAACCTCAGATCGAATCCCATGGAAAATGGATGCCAAAATGGAATCATATTTTTGACATTGTCATGTTTTGGCGGCAAGTCTGTTGGTGAAACAATAGATTTAATATAAATAAAACAAGGGCTTTTTTTCCAATTTTATTTCGACCGATAATTTATGAGGAAAAGTTTACCGTAGTGGGGATTTCCTTTATCAGCAAAGGGCTATGGAAAACTGTTTGTTTTGAGCTTTCATTCGATAATTATTCGATAGCTTTAAAGTATAAATCGATGACTTCCAAAAAGTAATAGATGAATCGTTGATCTAAAAAAGAAGTCTACAAATTAGCACATTGCAAAAATCAAAGGCATTTCTGATAAGTAAAAAGAAAAAGATAAAATGATAAAAAAAGAAGACTGGCATAGTCGGGACAGTGCGTTGCATACAAATAAAGACTGTTGTAAGGTTATTCCAGTATAATTAACATTTTTTAATTTCTAAATTTTTCTTCCAGATGAATTTGAAATTTTGTTGGTCATGGCTCTGACAAAACTTGTGGCATTTTTTGCCGGCAAATGCAAACATTATGAAAGCCATCAACAAAATGTTAATTATGTTAAAATTAAAACATATTAAACACTGTTAAACAGATCAGAAAAATCCTACCGGATGGGAGAAAGAATTTCAAGGAATTGAAATCAATAATAAAGCTTAATCCGCATTCGAATCAGAATTAATAAACATACAATGGAACATTTTCAAACGTCGCTGAATCCACGGAAACAGGAGCTGCTCGAAGCGCGCTTTATTGGCATTCGGGTAAGTGCGAATGGTTTTTATTTTATAGGGATATAGTTGAAAGATTTAATATATGTATTATTTTATACAACATTTCATGAAACTTTCAGCAAAAAAATGTTCCAAATTTTCCGTGTGAAATATCACAGCCCCAAACTCGGAGTAAAATTTCAGTGGCAATGCCGTATCCATGCTCCCTTTTGGCGTACCCAAGGCATTGGTTACAGCCATTGGGTGTCCACTGGCCCGGCACTCCGCCCATCGATGGGTTAATGGCAAACGGTTATTGCACTTTGCAACTGTAGTCAGTGGCAGAGTGGAAGTGGCAGTGGCAGCAATGGGGCCGATGTCTGAACAACAGGCAACTTTAAACTTTTGTTGTGTGGAAGAAGCACCATGCAGATGCAGATGATGTTGCAGTTGCAGATGCTTTTCCCCCCCATAGATAGACGAAACAAAAAAAAAACACACACACAAAAAGGAGTGGGATGGGGATGGGTGGGCGGGGGGAGTGAGCAAGCGCTGAATGAAAATGTAGAAAAATGTAAGCGAAACTAAATTAGCGTATAAAAGAAAAGCAATGCAAAGGAGAGAGGGCAATACACAAGAAAAGAAACGAAACGAAAAAATAAAAGCAGTGTAAAAGAGAGTGTGAGAGAGAGGGGAATATAAAAGAAAAGCAATGCAAAAGAAAAAGCAATGAAAGAGATTGAAGGGGAATATACATACATATGTACATACATATGTATGTATGTATGTATGTAGGTATGTAAAAGAAAAGCTAGCTGGATGATGCCCAATGGAGCTGCCAACTCGAGTTGGCGAGTTGGCGTATGTAAATGGCATGGACATGGGGTCTCTAAAAGTGTCTTAATCATTCATTTCTCCATGGCATATTTGTACATACATACATACATACATACATACATAGCTCCATGATAGGATACATAGGTTAAGGAACTATCTCTTGGGAGGACAGCCGGCCGTGTGTTCCATCTCTCGTAAGAGGACACATTTCTTCGGCTCTCGCTCGCTCTCTCTCTCTGTCTCTGAAATGGACAGCCATTAAGCCGTTACGCTGACATTGTTGTCCGTGGTTTATCCTTTGGTGTGCTCTTTAGATGTATTTTGCTGCAAATGCGAGAGAACCACTATATTATGGTGGTTCCACCTACCTCTATCTATCTATCTATCTATCTCCGCTGCATCCGCTCTTCTTCCAGCACCTCTTTGGTTGGTACTTAACCTCCAGCCCCCTCTTCCCCCCGTACACACACATGCACACACTTGCTTCCATGATACTGCCTTTTGGTGTTGCTTTTGTTGTTGCTGTTGTTGTTGTCAACATCTCGTCTCGTTTTGTGGGTTGAGGCATGTGGCAATCTCCCCGCCCCCCACTCCACACACACACACACACACACACTCAAAATATATTCAATACATAAATGGAAAGATAGAGAGAGAGAGGAAGATAGAGAGAGTACATAAAGCAGAGGCCTACACATGGACATTTTGCTGTACAATCAACACCCCCTCCAACTACCCAGCCCAACCCAAACCCCATGCAGCTTAACCCATACAAGCCCCCAGCTCCCCTTCATATGGATTTTGCACCGCAGCTAGCTCTCTTCCTGCAGACCATTTTCCCCTCATCTTTTTTGGGTGGATTGCTCCGATTCTGTGCTGCCGCGATGTCTCTTCACAGTTCTATACATACATACGTACATGTGTGTGTATATGTGTGTGTGTAATGTGTGCATGAATATAACGAATTGAACGAAAAAGAACAGCTGATAAGCGTCCATAGGCGCAGGCACTGGCAGGAGACCCCTTAAACATACAAAATAAACTGTGAGCAGAAATAATATCAGTAACAAAAATAGGCAAAAAAGAAAGCAATGCAAGTATGTATATAATAACAATCTGACAACGTCATCCATAAAGCAGGCTTTACTGTAGAGACCCTGCACCTACGCCCCTGCCGCCATGCCACCCTCGGCACTGTAAAACGCTGCTGGCAACAGTATCGCCTGTTAAGGTTAACATAGCGTTTTTGGAGTTAACAGACAGCTGCACTCTCTTCGTTAACGTTAACAGTCTTCACTGCTTCTCTTTAACAGTTTTTGCTCTCCTGTTAATGTTAACAGCCTCTCACCTGCTGTTATTGACAAGCTGGTTTTGGTACCACCGCTGTTAGATGTTTTCTGGGCGCCGGATACAAGCCTTTAAAATTGTTTCAGTCAATTTGCAAATTAACGCAAATTTTGGAGCAAATATTGTGGCCAGGAGCGATATCGGTGCGCCCACCGTTGTTGCCAATCTCGATGCTAATTCGAGACAGAGCCACCGCCGGCGTCAGTCAAATATGATGTATGTGCACATAACCTAACATTTAATTGGCCTGACGCCGCCGCCGCCGCCGCCGCTGCTGCCCCCCTTGCCAGCACAAATCGTATCAGAGGTAACAGCAGCAGCTGGCGCTTCCGCATATTATTAACAGTGACGTTGGAGCCGGCTAAATGCGGAACAACAGCAACAGAGTCAAGAGAGCCATGCCATGCACGTGTGGATGGGGCTGCTCTCTCGCTCTCTTTAAGCTGCTTTTCCCACAAAACTGCTTGCTGGGCGAACTGCTTGCTCTCTCACAAGTTTTGGGGAAACTTGCTAAACTGCTTGTTCCACTGTTGGTCTTTGCATTACGGCTCTGCTTGCTGATTCCTCTATAAGTTTTCCCATTAAAGCTCTCTCTCTCTCTCTCTGCGTTTCTTAGGTGATTGGTCTCTCTTAACTGCTTACTAATGTATAAACGGATTGTTCTCTCACATGCCCTCGCTCTCTCTTGCACTGTTAATGTAGTCGTAGGTCGCGTCACTGCCTGTCTCTTTGCGTTGCTCTGCTTGTTTACACGCGTGTCAAATTTCCCGGCCTGCTGCCAATTCGCCACAAAAATCTCATCTATTATTTATGCGATACGAATAATTTGCGAGAACTGCTAGTTCTGATTGGATTCTGTGGTGGGTGTATAACGGCCTCTCCCAGTGACAACTTTCAAGTGCTGCGAAAGTAATAATTATTTGTAAAATTTATTGCAATTACGGTTAAACATTTATAAACGAATTGGGAGTGAACGGTGTTTGGTTTGTTTTTGTGTTCGTGCATCATCCTTAGGCTCTCTCTTTTGAAGTGTGCTTGGCTCTCTTTCGGTCTCTTCTCCGTCTCCATCTCTCGGTGCGTGTGTCTCTTTCGCTCCTTATCGATGTCTGTCTGTCTGTCTGTCTGCCTGTCTGTCTGACTTTTCCTGTACATCTGTCGTGTCTATCTATGTATCTTTCTCTACTTCTTGCTTGTTATGCCGGCTTCTTTGGCCTCTGTTTCGGCTTCTTGTTTCTCTGCTGTTCTGCCTTTCGACCCGATTAATCAGTTTATTTTGATTATTCTTGCGGCTTGTTGTTGTGGCAACTCTTTTTTTATTTTTTTTATTTGTCAATGAGCAAGAGAGAGACATACAAACAAACATACATACATACATACATGATAGATAGAGTAACTGCACACGAAAATCATATCCTGTAATGCCTCTACGGAAAAAAAACGCCTTAAAAGAAACACCCAAAATGAACTAAAAACCGCAAAGCTTGAGAAGGAAACATTTCAACGCGTAAAAAGAGGCAAGCAGAGGCAGAGGCATGCCACAAACGAAGCTGCGATTCGAATCGGCGGCAGTTGTAAAACGTTCGTTGTTGGATTCGGCGGCCGGGCCTTTCGTTGTCTCGTGTCCTGGTGCGTGATTTTCCCTTTCCCCACCGTCCAGCCCCACCAATTTCCCTCCCCCTCCCCCACCAAAGCAAACAAACAACAGCAACAATGGTGGCAAGCTGCCGCTGCAGTCGACAGAATAATTTTGAGGCAGTGGCAGAGCATACGAAAAAGGAAGAGACGAGAAGCGTAAAAAAGAAAAAGGGACAAGAGATGAAAGCGATGGGGAAAGGGCGAAAAGAGGAAGAAGAGAAAAGGGAGAAAGGGATTAGGGAAAGAAGGAGAAGAATAGGAAGGAACGGCTGGAAAGGAAGAATGTAAATTTAAGGAATGTGAAGAACAGGACGAAGTTTAAGGAACGAGGAACACTAGAAACGTGGAAGAGGAACGAAAGAAGACTGCCTTACAAAAGCAGTAGACCGAAAAAACAGCAATCAAAAACGAAGATCAGAAACCTTAAAGGCTAAACTAAAAAAAGGAAAAGGCGTCCAAGCCAAAAGACACATAGAAAAGGGAGGACAAGAAGGGGTAGGCGAGATACGCAGCGTAGAAAGAACGGAATAGGGGAAAGATGAAGAACAACTGGAATTGAAACGACAATTGGAATCGGAATGGGTAGCAGAAGAACAACTGGAATCGGAATGGGTAGCAGAAGAACAACTGTGATAGGAATGAGCAGCAGAAGAAGAGAAGCGCAGCTATGAGAAAAAATGTAGAAGGAAGGAAAATAATCAAAATTTGAAATGACTAAAGAAAAGGAAATAATAATAGGAACAAACCAAAAACACAATAGAATATGTATAAAAAGCAAAGAAAAAGGAAAAGCCGAAGACGAAGACTTAAACACGAATTGCGATTGCAACTTTGTGCCTGCCCCCCCCCCTTCCTTTTTGTGTTGTTGTTTTAGTTTTTCCTCCGTTGATTGCCACGCTTCAATGGACGTTATTTTTTTTTTGTTTTCAGTTCGCAATCGTCGTCCGGCATCGTCGTGTTGCATATTCGCGGTGTTCCCATCATTATTGTTGTTGTTGCAAATTGCAGTTGCACTAGCGATTGTTGGGAGGAAGATAGAGAGAGAGAGAGAGAGACGGGAGAGAGAAAGAGCGAGAGACAGAGAGAGTGAGAGAGAGCCAGAGAGGGAAAAGCCATTCGACAGAGTTGTGCTTGCAGTACCGTTAAACAGCCAAAGAAGAGAACGGGACACGTGTATTCCAATATTCTTTTATGAATTCTTCTATTTTTTTTCGGTGTAATTCTTTTTTTTAAAAGTGAAGTGTGAAAAGTAAAATCCAACAACAACATACGAACACAGCAACAACGAAGAGAGCGATAGAAAATTCAGAGCGTGTGTGTGTGTGTGTGTGGAAAAAGAGTGAAAAAAAAACCTGAACCTGAAATAAAACACAAAACCAAAAAGGGAAGAAAAAAAAAAAAATAACAGCGTTTGCCGGCTGTGTGTGCGCGCCCGCCGCCTCGCCTCCTCCTATCGAGACGCCACCACGCCATCCATTGGGGCCCAGAGGCAACGAACAGGCAGCAGCAGCAAACCACGAAGAAGAAGGAGAAGAAGGCGAAGAGCAGAAGGAAGGAAGAAGGCAAACACGAGGCAACAACGATGCCCGTGGTAAAGCAGCGGAAAATGAGCCGCTTTAAGGTTAGTGTTCAGCGCAAAAAAAAAAAAACGAAGCAAACCAAATGGCTGAGAGCGAGAAAGAGAGAGAGAGAGAGGTAGAGAGAGTTAGGCGGAAAACGGTGTGGAAAAGTAGGATGAGATGAAAATAAAAGACATGGCTGCCAGATGCCGAAAGATGGCGAGGATGATGATGAGGTGAGGCTGAGTAGAGAAGGGAAAACAGAGAGAGAACTCAAGAGAAAGTGACGATAAATGGGATAATAGTTGGCAGAAGAGAAAAATGAAAATGGGTTGAGAGATGAAACAAGCAAAGGGACTGAAAAAATGAGATGAAAACTGATTAAATATGTATGCTAAAAGGGAGAAAGAGAATGAATAAAAGGGACATTAGGGGAAGAGAAATAACAGTGGAAAAGGGGAGCTGAAAGGACGAGCCAGAAGCGATAATTGCAAAGGGGCTCAAAGAGAGATGGGTAAAGAAGGGAAATCAAAAGAAGATGGATAAGTGAAGCAAAAACCATAAGTGTCCCAAAATATAATAAGCGATACATACATATAAGGAAAGAAAAAGAAAAAAGGTTTTTAAACGAGGGAACATAATGAAGTTAAGTAGAAAAACGTTCAAAGAGTAGCAAGGATAATGCAGAAAACTAGAAAAAAAAATGTAAAAATGAAGAATTGAAAATGGATAATTTTGGGATTTAATATTTAGATAATATTTTGATGATCTCTTTTGTCAATAAGAAAACAAACATCCTCTCAGCCTAAGGGCTGTAAACTGTACGTAAAATCATAGCTGCTGGAGCTGAGTCCTGCATTTCCGCTTCATTTTCACTTCAAGCCGTTTTGTCATTAATGGCAGACTGTACCTGCATAAATGATTAGCGTGTCACGTTTGTCATTCGTAGGTGTCAGCTGTTCTTCTTCGTTCTTGAATTGACTTTTTGCCCGCTCCAAGCGCAATCCTTAAATAATTAAGCATTTAGTTCACATATTCACATATGCATGACTGCATTTGAATAATTAGAATGTGTGTATGTGTGTGTTTCCAATGCCTTGCGGTAACCCCGATATTCTTAAGGGTATGTACATTGCACATATGTACATATATACTTGCGCGAAATCGAGGACATATGCCATTAAGGATAGGAATAATAAATCCCTTTTTGCATAATAAATTAGTTCGATTAATTTTTGTAATTTAAAATTCCAAATTGAGAGTGGAAAAGTGTGTGCCCCCAACACCTGATAGATTGAGAGTGGAACAGTGTGTCCCCTATCCCCAGATACATTGAGAGTGGAACAGTGTGTCCTGCCAGCTTAGATATTTGTAATTTGATCTACTAAAGAGTCTCCATTAAATTATATTACCCACAAAATCAGTTGCCATCCCACACATTAATGTTCCTCCCCCACGCTGCAATTAAAACATCGAAACTCTAGAGTCTCTGGGTATGGAGTACCCATAATTAAGTAATAAGTTTGGCAATCCATCAATCATTTAGTCTATCAATCAATCATCGGTTTGACCTGCAATCGCATGGTCGAAAAATTGGCGATTGAACTTGACGCATCGCATCGGCTTCTTCGTTCGTTGCTGCCACAAAAGCAGGTTTCAAAATGAGTAAGAAATCAGGGGGGGGGAAGCATGTTGAAAGAAAGATGCTGAAGAGAAGTAAGCCCAGGCAAAGAAGAGCCAACCAGCAAAAGAAGAGCCAGAAGAGCAGCAAACAGCAGAAGAAAAGAAAAAGAAAATGAAAAAAAAAAACTAAACTAGCAACTAACTAGAAAACCTAATTTCTATATATTTTCCTACTACTTCGCTGCTCTGCCTATGCACCCAATATCGCATCTATGAAATGGACGCTGAAATGCCCTTTCCTTAAAAGTTAATTCATCTATTGAAATTCATAAAAGTTGCTTCCACTTCGCCAAGTCAGAAAATTAATAAATAAATGTTATAACTGTTAAATTTATTTACATCGATTACCACCGATTGCATGATATATTTTTAGGGCTACCCTCTAACCTATCCTCTGAGTTGTCTCTGATAAAAACCAAAATTTCCACCGTTTGCTTCTTAGTGATTTGACACAATTTTCTAGACTATCTTTTAGGTGTCGTTAAATATTACAAAATATTTAATTTAGTTCAATTTCAAAGAATCTTTAGGAGTAGTAAAATTAGTTTGATTTTTATATGCCAAGTGTCACATCCGATGACAGAAATATCCGGCTTTATATTGATTACATTTTACTGTTTTTTTTTTGTTTTTTGTGGCTTTATTTAAGTCAGAACTATTATACCCTTCTACTGTTTAGAGGGTATTAGGAAAAAGTAAAAGAGCAAAATAAAGTGGGATAAAAAAAATTCGCAAGTTCGTTGAACTTGCCGTGAAAATTATATGCCGCCAGCTCACGAAGACGACAAAAAAAAAACACACACACACACACACACAAGAAGCTGAAGAAGAAACCGATGAAGTAGTTGGGGAGGGGAGAGAAAAAAAGCACACAAAAAAAACTAGTCATGCGTCGCCGCTGCTGGCATCGACGTCGACAGTAGCCTGCCACTGCCACTGCTGCTGCTGCTGCTGCTTCTGCTGCCGCCCCTCTGTCACTCCGCTGCTGCTGCATAGATTTTTGCGACCTGACCCATGATGAAATTATATAAGGTGGTGCCGTCCCTCTCCTTCGGATCTTATTCATACGCACACACAGCCAATTCATCACTCACACACACACACACACACATGCAATCAGACAGCGAGCTTGATGTTGTATTTGGAAAATAAGTCCCGAAAGAGAGCGCATTGCGGAACGGGACCGGGACCGGGACCACCTTATATAATTTCATCATGACCTGACCTAAAATGCAAAAATGTTAACGACTGGACTGCTTCACTCTCTGTTACTTAACAGCCAGACAGACGCAGATGTTGGGCAAGTCTAACAGAAGAAGAGAGAGAAGAAGTAGGGGAGGGGTGAGAGAGAGACAGGAGCTCAGCTGTTTAAAAGCGTCCGTTATTTGCACCAATGGAAAACTACATTTTTAAGCACACTTAAAAAATAGTCAAAGATAAAATAAAACAAGACAGATAAATTTAGGTAAAATATAAATAAAATAGACAAAGTGTAGAAAAGAATTTAAAAAAATTAATTAAAAAGAGAAAGAAGAGAATATCGAAAAAGATGTAAAAAAAATTAATTTAAATAAAAAAAAGGGACAGAACAAAAAAAAAAAAAAAATTTAGTAAAAGATGCAAACAGAATTTAATAAAATAGAAAAGCGTGTGGATAAAATATACCGTAGAAAAATGAAATAGCATAGAAAAATATCTAGAATTAAACGGAAAAAAGAGGGAAAGGATGTTAAGCCCCATGGAATTTAAGGTTTACCACTCATACTTTGGGTTCTATGAATCTAGCATCTGTATGTACATATGTATGTATGTATGTATATTGCATAACGTATTTTCAGCCTGGATCTGGCCCGCCTCCCCCCTCCTCTGCCAGTGTTGGCAAATGTAATCAGAAAAATGTCTTTTCTAAAAATGTATGCGGCTGAAATTTGTTTTACGAGCGGGCTCAGAGAAACAGTAGGGGCAGGAGGAGGAGGAAAAATAGGAGTGGTGGGGGTGTCCCACAAAAGGCGACGACAACTGCGGCACAGTGGCGCCCCCCAAGAGAACCAATGTCCCCGTGTGTATGTACATATGTATATGTGTGTGTCCCTTTTTTTTCGATGCTTTTTCTCGCTTATAATATACTTTTTTTTTTTTTCCCCCCCCCTCTTTTTCTTGCTGATACAAAAGAGACAAGCGGATAGTGGTGATGGGGGGGTAGTAGGTGTAGGGGTGTTGGGTGTGGGTGGGTTGGAGAAGTAGAGGGGGGGGGGTTGGTGGTGGTATGTGGCGCCATCTGTTGTATGAGTTGACATCAAAACGGATATGGAATTTTCAATATTTACAGTTGCTTTTGTTGTTAATGTATGCAACACACACACACACACACACACACAGAGACCTACACAGACGGCGGCTATGAAGGGGGAAAAGCTTGTCCTTTCCGCACCCTACCCTCTCGTGCAGCTCCTACCACACTGCCCCCCCTCGCACCCCCTTGAGAGTCGCCTCCTTTGTGCTTATGTAAGCACTTTCAGCATGTTTCGCTTTTATATACTTTGAGTGGGCGTTGGACGACGACAACGACAACGCGCGTTGGTTCAACTCCGCCCCTCCCCCTACACACACACACACCCCACCCCATCCCATTCCATTTCCTGAGGCACACACACACACACACACACACAGCCCTCCCATTTCCCTCACTTGCCCCCCCACCCGTCACATCTTTGTTATCCTGTTATCCTTCTACCTCTACTAGCCAACACTATCTCTGCTGCTGCTGCTGCTGCCTCGGCTTCTGCTGCCTCTTCTCTGTTTTCTCGTTTCGCTTTTCGTAATTTATTTAACTGTTTTCCCCACGAGAATTGCAGCTTGCATCCGCTAGATGGCGCCTGCTGCATCGGAATTTTTCGTGGGAACGATAGCAAGGATTTCCAACCAATTTTGGTACAAAATCGAATTACCTTCAGCATTGGTTCCACACAGAGAAAAGACCCCTTAAATTTGAGCTAATTTACACTTGGATTAAATAAATGTATGCCAAGGCATACAGTGAAAGTGGTTTCACTTAAATTTTGACATTAATATTAAATTAATATATTATATATTGATTTAAATCGATTTCATATGTATTTAAACAATGCAATAATATATATGCAATAATAATAATGTAATATAAATAATATATATTTAATTTACATATAGTTAATTATTTTCCTGCAAATGTTAATTTAAATTTAATTATATTAAGCTTGAAAAATACCGAGAACTGAGAAAAGCGACCTCTGGTTGGTTCATGCCCCCAAGTATCATATGGCACGCCCCCTGCTCCTACAGAGCCAGGCCATGGTTGGGCATGAATTGGGGCCGGGGCAAATAATTAATATTACGCATA